AATAAATTTCGTTTTTCTCCACTGAATCAAATTTATATTTTACTCTTTTGTTCTGTTTGAGCACAAATGAGCCACCACATCCGCATACGAATCAGCAACACGTCAAGAATAAAATCTCTTTTGTGATTTTCCCAAACACTGTATTTCACACAAATTGCAGTGCTTTTAAGGCTTTCCATGACATGAGTGCCGTAGCCATTGTAACAAGGAGCACATATTTATAACTTATCTACACACAGATTTTTCATTACATTTGTCGCCGCTTTCTAAGCGTAAAGCGAAAACTTCTTGCTTCAACGGTTACCACAAGCCAAGCACATTTGGCTCCTTCGACCGTTTCACATCGCACACACGCAATTGCACATGCCGTCGCTCATACGCCGTGTCGACTTAAGCACTTGTTGCCACAACAGTCCACCAAGCAAGCCACATACACATGTATGTTAGTGTTGGTGCGTGTGTGCCTCTGTGTTTGTAATATTCAAAGTCAACAAGTTATATGCGAGTATTTCATTATTATTCCTAGTCAACTCCATGTCCGCTCATACACTCTCGAAATCACTGCGCACAAACACACATACACTGCTTTGCAAACAAATATGTATGGGTGTGTATGTGTCCATTTATCACTTTACCACCAATATATTCCTAGTTGTGCGCGCGTATCGCACTGTTGCCGCTGCCGCCGTCCAAAGAGTCAAGATACAAATGAGCCGCGAACGTCCTGTCGTCGCTTTTATATGCCAACGGCACTTGGTCGCACGGTCTGCGCTTGAAAGACGCACACACACACACACATATTATGCAAACTTAAGCGAGTGTTTCTTTTTCTTTCGTTTGTCGGCTGCTCACACATATTTCTGCGCATCCTTTCGCTTTCTTGTGCGGCGCACTGGTAAATCGCTCATTTGTTGCTTCTCGTTTGAATGTGTGTTTGGATGTATGTATGTGCGTGCGTGTATGCGTGTGGCGGCAAGCAGCATGCGACAGTTGGCAAACACGCTCGTGCTCATATGTATGTAGCAAAGGATTTACATAAATACACACAGCCAAGGCAATAACAATTATGCAAAGGAGCAGTGGCATTAGTGACAACAAAAATAAAGCAACAACAATGCTACCGTTTATTACTACGTTTCCGTTATTTGCCATGCAGCGCTTGACTCGTTGACATCGCGAGTTAATTTAAACACTAAATCGTACATTTCAGTTGTAATGCATGGATCGATGTTTCGGATGTACTGTGATGGACTTGAATTTCAGTTTATTGAAATTTTGAACAATACTAGTTTTTATACCTTCAACACCTTGAGACCCAGCATTCATTATTGAATAATATTCGACCGAATAGACCACACCAGCATGAAGTGAAGAAAATATAGCAGCCGTAGAGTGTACACGCCGACCACGGAGAGTCGATTCGACGCCTTTCGCAGCAACTCGGACTGACGTAGTCCAGATCTTAAAGTGAAAGCTTACAAAATACAGCTTGCGAAGGAACTGAAACTGCTCGACATTCCCAAGCAACATCGCTTCGCTGAGTTTGTCAAAAGTTCCAAGAATATCCGATGTTTTCAAACAAATTTAGTTCAGCGATGAGACTCATTTCCAGCTCGATCTGAAGAGATTCAAGAACTGCCATTTTATCAGAAAACAAAAAAAAAAATGGTTTAGTGTGGTTTCTGGGCCGGTGGAATCATCAGTCCATATGTCTTTCAAAATGATGCCGATGAGAACCTAACCGTCATTGGCGGCTGTTATTGCTCGTAACCAACTATTGGATGTCTGGAATTGAAGCTCTTGATCTTGGCGACATTTGGAACAGCAAGACGGCGCTACTTCTCACGCATCGCATCAATTACTGGAGAGAACTCTTCGGTGTGCAGATCTCCGTATAAATTGGTCTGATCGGATCACTATAGCACTACTGTGAAGGGTATATGTATCTTCGATGAAGCCAAAGTTAACACATTTATATTGTTTCTGTTTTTAGTTTTAAAAGATTCTTCTTTTCGGCACCAAGTGAAGCCAGCTCCTTCTTTGCCTGATGTTTCCAACTGAGTGCAGTGCGGTTATCGTATTGAACACTTTATTGAGTGTACTCAGCCATTCGGTCAACATGACCCAGCCAGCGTAGCCACTGTCTATTAATTCACGAAACTACATATGTCAATGACGTCGTATATCTCAAATAACTCATCGTTCTATTGACTCTGTTTTCGCAGTTGGCATTGCGCAAAAGACCATAAATCTTTCACAAAATTCTTCTTTCAGATGTTGTCATTGCACATGATTTCGTCCCATGTAAAAGGAAGGGAATATCTGTAGAATGTTCACTTCCTCCYATGCGAATGCGATGACTGTTTGTTTGATGACGAGAGATATTCTGGACTACTAAAACGAAGCGCATCGTTTCCCTAGCCAGTTTGAAGAAGCAAGTTCAATAAGGGCGGGTGGTTAGGCCAATTATAATAACATTATCGGCGTCCCCCTTTAGCTCTGCAGCTCRTATCAACTTCGTATCAACTTCACCGCAATAGACTGAGGAGTCATACGTTAGGAAGTCACCCTGTCTGAAATCTAGTTTGGTATCGAACGTTTCTTTAATCATTATAGATTTTGCAGGTCTTAGGCCASAATCATATGTTCTCCGTCGTCGTATTTGATTAGTTCGACCGACAATTCGACGGCTCAACTACTTTATTTTTCTTTCCTTTCTTCTTCTTCACAGTCGATATCGGTTTCGCTATCTCCTGGTGTTACACAACCATTCAAAAAGCTGAAAAAAACTTTTTTAAGAGTCCGCGAATTTGAAAGTGGGTGTTTTTAGCATAATAAATTTACAGACGTATTCTTAGAATTACCRCTAACCGTAGAGGTTGATTCCAAAKTAGGGTTCTGTAGTCGCCATTTCGCACAATACCTTCATATACACATTTGTCATTATTTCGAGAATAAGTTGTCAATTAAACCTTTAGAGAATCCTTACAAATTACTTTGTCTTCTTCTTCTTTATTATCACTTACCGATATTATTATTATTTAGCACTTTGTCGGGTAAAATCCGGGTCGATTCGGGCATTGTAGATCCGTATGTTGAAGATTATGCGAGAGCCCTACTCAAAAAGTCTTTTTTTTTTTGCCTTTGCATAGAACGTACATTTGTCTATTTGAAATTATCAACAAATTTTAAGTTGATCCGGTAAGGATTGGTGCAATCAGTTCTCGTTTTTCCCTAAGCGCTGATTTCGGAGCCGGAGAGTAAAATTTTTCAAACACGTTTGCACCRATCGACTTGAAWTTTTTACACGACCTTCTAAAATACATATGTTTGTCAGGTAATAATTGATGGAATTTGATTTATGGCAACGATTTCGACTTGTAAGCCATTCTTTCAAAAAAAAAAAATAAGTTTTTTGGAAAACTTTCATTCAAATTGCACAAAAAATKCCCTTCCATAATTACCTGTATTCATCAGTAACTAAAATAATTTTTTATTTTTCCATTTAAGATAACTTTAAGCGCCAAACAACTTCTTCCGGAGGTTTTTCTGAAGATCGACAAGGAGGTCAAGGAATTAAACAAATCTTTCAAAAAAGATCTTTCAAAGTTTATTATCAAGCTACAGTTCCTAAGTGCACTTTATTTTTTTATATCTATAAAAAAAAAATGTCTCTCTGCCCATTCTGTGTTGTAAGTAAAATTATAAATAAAATAGCATTCAAAGAGAGTGCGAACATTCCTTCGCGAGCCCCAAAATCATGCCAATGACTATTCTYTTCGTTACATCAACACACACACCCACACACGAACACACATGCTAACACAATCATCAGCTGTGCAATTATACATTAATACTATTAAGTACGCTCAATTAGATTTGCTGAAAACAATTAACATGTCACTTACTCCATCATTAAAGACTTTAATGCAAAAATAACTACAACACAAACCGATTATGAGAAACTTTCGCTCCAAGCCAAATACAAATATGGACACACATTGCAAGAACACAGACGAGCGCACACATCGATATTCGTTGACAATGGTTAGCAAGCACAAGTGCTTCTTTAGGCCTTAATTCTTTAATTCGTTTCGTGTTTACTCAACCATTTTGGCGCGAAAGTCTACCATTGAAGTGTTTGAGCATACTGTTTTGTTGCCATCAACATGTTTTGCAAACACACACGCACGCACTTTGTTAGCCAAAGTTTTAAACACAGAAGATGAACATACCCTGTTCAGAATATGAAGATTGTTTTTTGAAATTAAAATATGAATTCTTAGTGCAAATATCAAAAAACTGTACTTAAATTAATTAACAATTATTACAAATGGCATCCATAATTTGAAATTATTAAAAATATCTGCAAACGTCGGCATCATAAGGACTCATTTTCTTTTTATGCCACTTATCGACTTCAAACCCGCGGTAGTTGGCACTTTGGATGCAGCTTTCTTGGCCTCTTCTATAGCCATTATCATACGCCGCGGTTCGGTTAAAAACCAAATCCAYAACAACTGACTGTAGCGCCAAAGTTTGTCTTTTTCCTATTAAGTAAAAAGAAATAACGGATTTTATATAAATTAATAAGAAAGGCATTTGAATATCTTACTAGTCTTTCAGCTATGTTTTCTTGAAATTGCGTACGCAAATAACGCAGTGTTCTATCAAGGCGCTCCTGAGTGTTTTTGGCGTTGTAAATGGGCATTAAGAAGCGCACATGTTCGAACATTGGCGCCTCCACAGGGCTATCATACACCATTGGCCGCAATAAAGATTCTAGGCGTTGCCTAAAAGCATACTAAAACGTTATTTCAAAAAGCAATACTATTTTAATATTTTCACTTACAATTCGTGCATTTGTGCAGTGACATTTGCATATGCTTTACCGCCGATCATACCCTGCACAGCGTATGACAAGAGTCTGGTGAATTTCTCATATTCATACAGGCAGGACTTTGGCTCGCTGCGCACTTTCTGGCCGAGATGACGCGATAATCGTTCGGCTATTGCATCCAACAGTGATGGCGCAGAGGTATTAGTAAATATATTGCCATAAGCTAAAAGCGGCGTATTGTTCTGTTGAATGGTGCGCATCATTTTAATGCGCCTTTGACAATTATCTGTTTCACTGTTTAACTGATCTGTGTTCACAAAACGATTTCTTTTCCGTTCTAAATCTAATTGTATCGCGATCCAAACAAGTTCGGCATTTGATAATGCATCCGAAATAATTTTTGTTAAACGTTTATCGGTTTCTTGGCGCTTTAAGGCACGCTCTAATTTTAATTTGGTATTTTCATAAAGTATCAATTCCATGCGCTGCTGGGTATGCTGTCGCACATGCAAAGTGAGATCRTTCAAAAGCGTGTCATAAGCAATCTTCAAATGGTGTTCGTTCATCATTTCCAGTTCGCGTGTTTCATGCTCCATGTCCGCAAGACTGATGACATGTATTTGCGAAAGATCCAAAAAATCGATCAAAGACTGTGTCGCCTTTGATTTTGCCTTTTCTTTTATATATTCAAGCGTATAGTATTCCATACTACACAAAAATAAGGAAATTATAATTTTAACGAAAGAGCTGGAAGTAATAAATTTTGTATGCGCTTACGATTTGGCTAAGGATTGAAGTTTGTCGGAAAACTCGGAATGTTCAGATGAGGTGCAATCCATTTCGCTATAATCCTGCAAAATAATAAGCGATTAATCATTTGAAGGAAATTAGTACCGAGTGTTTTCTGCACCTGAATTTTAAAATTCTCCTTCATATACAAAGTAAAATATTGCATGAATGTATCGCATTTTAGCAGGTATTGATCTATAGGTAATTGATGAATAAAGAGCGGTGGCGATTGCTGCGAAGTAAAAATAAAAAACAATAATTTGTGGCACCAAATGTGACGGCACAAAAATATACTTACAATTTTCGTAAAACAACGTGTGGCTTCGTTAGAAAGTTTATAATTTTCCAATTGCATTTCCTCCAGCTGCCGGGCATAGTTTTGACATTCATTTAGCAAATCATTTTCTTTACTAGTTAAAGTACTGATTTCATTTTCTAATTCTCCCAGTTGTGCGTTAATTTTGTTCTTGGTACCTCTACAGTGACCGAAAATATGTGTAGATATATCATAAATAAATAAATATAATCATTACCTCATTTCCTCAACGAGTGCTGCGTAACAATCTTCTGTATGTTCTAGCAAATTAAGTTCCTCCGACATCGCTATTACTTGCTCCTCTGTATATTGCAGCAATCCGGGATTTTGAATTTCCATTTCTTTTAGTTTCGCAGCGCGTTCAGTAGATTCCATCACTTCTCCTCTSTGCTTTAACTCGTCAAACTCTAATACTTCATTCTCAGTTAGTATATTAATATCAGTTATATTTTCAGTGAAAAAATTGAAAAACTTTTGGAAACGATCATCGTAGAGAATCCATTGGTTGGCGCAGTCGAACCCCAACTTTTTGAAGGCATCAAAGTGCTACAGAGTAGACAACMTACATATATTTCACATATTTTAATTTTGTTGATCTGTTATTCAACTTACATTAATTAAATCGCCCATAATTGGCAAGGGATAAGAAACTAGAATACAAAATGCAAATATAATATTTTATTTTAAATTMAATCGAATTCTTCTTCTTTGTATTTTTAAAACTGTGAATTTCATATTTATTTGGAGAAGTACTGCCAATTTAATTCGTAAAATAAATGGGCTACACTCTAATTGAATGCAGGGTGTACATGATAAGAAAGTAAATTCTACCCTAAATATTTTAAACCGTAATTAGTTAAGATTTATGCTTAATCTAATAACTAACACCTTCATATGACATGATAATTTTTGCCATGCCRTTTGATGAGGTGCCGATTGTTCCATGTGAGCTACCTATCGGAATATCACCGGTTAATTACCCAATATAGCTACCAGAGATTGTGTTAAGGTTTATATATTATATTATGTACTATTATGTATACTTATTCACTTTCTTACGCAAAGGCATGATGATTAGCTAGGTTTATATCTTAGTTTCCGCCCTAATTCTTTCAATTAGTTGTAGTTTGGAAGCTGTGAATTGTTTAAGTTAATGTGCTGATTTTTACAAATTCTTTCCTACCGCTGGTAAGCACTGAAATTTGTCACAGTTGTTTAATTTATCGATAAACGTTGCTATTAATTTGGTAACACTTTTCGCGGCAGGAATGACAATACAATTTCACTGTGAAATAAGTGAATATTAAAAACTTTTAATTAAACAACAGCAAAATGGTAAGTAAAAAATTAGTAAATATATTAAAAAGTCTGAAAAGCCATCATATTATGTCAGATTCTTACTTAATGCAATTAAGTAAAACATTGTAATGCTAGTGTTCTTATGTRTCTCCCAGGCACGTCGTTATGATTCGCGGACAACCATCTTCTCCCCAGAAGGCCGACTATACCAGGTGGAATATGCTATGGAAGCTATTTCTCGTGCTGGCGCTGCCTTAGGTATACGCACAGACGATGGTATAGTTATAGCTGCAGAATGTCATACAACAAGTCCATTATTAGACAACGATATCTTTCAGGACAAAATTTACAAAATCAACGAGTAAGTTGTAACATCCTGTATACGTATCAATGTATGATTGTTTGTCTAAACTTACAGTCATTTATGTGTTGCTGTTGCTGGTATTACATCCGATGCCAATGTTTTGGTAAATGAAATGCGCTTAATCGCTCAACGTTATCAATATAATTATGGTGCACCAATACCCGTTGAGCAACTGGTCTCACATTTGTGTGACATTAAGCAAGCATACACACAATATGGTGGAAAGCGTCCATTTGGTGTATCGATTCTTTACATGGGTTACGATAGGCGTCATGGCTTTCAACTCTATCAATCAGACCCCAGTGGCAATTATAGTGGCTGGAATGGCACCTGCATTGGTAAAAGCTTTGGTGTAGCTATGTCCATGTTAAAGACAGAACTTGCAAACCGGTAAGAATATGTAAAATATATATGTGTAAACAATTATATTAATATATTTAATGTTGTTATTCATAGTTATGATAACGCAGAAA